TAATACCAGTATTTGAATATATACTCAACTACTACGAGCAGCGCGTTGAACTGTATAACGCCGTTAATTACAATAGCCACAACGAGGCGCCTAAGGACCATCTTGCTATTAACCTGCGAGCAGCGTAGGCAAAGGCTAGCGAATACTACGCTAAATTAGACCTATCGCCCGCCTATTACGCCGCTACAATACTCTATCCCTACTACAAAACGTACTGCGACGTCTCCTAGGGTGCTGAGAAGCCCGACTGGCTTGCTGCCAACAATTACAACTTTCGCGCCTTATAGGCTGAGTACAACACCGCTCCGCTAGTTGTACAGCGCCTAAAGGTGCTCTCAAACGATATAGACGACGCAATCGACAGTCTTATCGACCCTACAACTACTCGCAGCGCTATAGCAGCGGACGACGAGTTTACTCGGTAGAAACAGTGCGAGCGGCGCGTAGAGAAGGACAGCGAATACGCCAACAACCCCATACAATACTAGCTATCGCTGCAGGATCGCTATCCTCGCCTTAGCAAGCTTGCGCTTAACGTACTGTCTATCCCAGCGTCAAGCTGTGAGTGTGAGCGTATGTTTAGTGAGCTTAGGGACCTGCTAGAGCCTCGCCGACGAGCTATACAACCCCAGCTTCTAGCAGCAATACAGTGCGTACGACGGTGGAGAAAAGCTGGCTTGGGCAATGACGATATTAGCTCTACGGGCTCTATAACTAACAGCGAGATAGAGGCGTTGTACAGCTTGAGTACATGGGACGACGATATCGACAGCGATATTGACGGCGATAGCGATAATCAACACCAGAAATAGTCACGATACAGCCGATATCACCTACCTGTACAGCCTCACGCTTTACGCTCGGGCCATCAATCTCATCAATCTCATCAATCAATCTGAGCGCCTATAACCTATCAAGCTCACCAAGCCAATCCGAGCCTCTATAAACATCAAGTCAATCCAATCTGGCTACGCCAGATTGATTGGCTTGATTGTTGACAAGTCTGCGAAAAGGGTAGTCGACGACGTGTGAGAAGGGCAAACATGCTCTTAGTATAGCGCTAGGGATTAAACACTCTGCAGAGGGCTAATTCTAATAGCTTTGCTAGATAATAATCACCGAGCCTAGCCTACTTTAATAGAGGACCAGTTTCCGATGATCGTTTAAGTATCGAATTATCTAGGGAGTTAATAACGTCGCTGTGTTTGCGCTTTGCATAGTATATAGCATTGTCTCGTTTCGAATTCGACCAGGCCTAATCAGATAAACAGAGAAGACATTCATAGACCACTGCTCCTTTCGTTCTGCGCCTCCCTAATAGTCCTAACTAGCCTTTGTTCGGATATGTCGCGCGGAATACGCAGTCAAAGTTCAGGACCTCAGATAGTGCTGATTCTGCATCAAGAGCAGGATCAATACTCGTCTGAGAATGTGACGCGCTATACGCAGGTTGCTGTGATGAAGAAGCCATGATTAAGGACATTAGAAGCTCAGAATAATAGGACATATTATATCTACGCACTTAAATCATGTGGTAAAGTTGGTGCTATTCGAACTCTGCAACCCTTTCTCGGAAAAAAACGGATCTTATCAATTGATGAGATAAGATCTGGCCAATCAGAGCCCGCAGCTTATCCTGATATCTATTCTGGTATCAGGATAAGGGACCCTAGCTTTATCCGATATCCGATATATATCATATCGGATATAGCAGGATAGCAGAGATGATATTAAGATAGCATATCAGGATAGGCAAGTCTGCTTGAGATGCTTATAATACCGAAGCCTTGGTGAGGAAGTTGTTCACCCAGTCGGCTTGTTGAGCTCATCAGTGGTTATCACTGGGATTATCCCTACTCTCTCATTATACATATATATATAGCTTCCCTCTTTCATAGCTATTCAATCAACTCAGTCCTTCATTCTCCCTCACCCACTATACGTAATAGTGGTAGTTCATCGGCGCAGTGCAGGTGACACTCCTCGACTTGATTGTCGACGCTTCGGACTTGGATTTCAAGCTCTTCTCCTCTCCTTCTAGTTTGATCATTCTTGTGCCAGTGACGAATTTGCAAGAGTGTTAGCGAGTGTCTCATCGAGTATAGTAAATTCGTGGCTCACGTAGCCCAGACGTACTCCCCAACGAGGTAAATGACGAAGATCAGCATGAAGAGTCCAAGTACGGTACCGACGTAATATTTCTCTGACTTCAGGCTCTTACCGCGGCTGCCTACGTGCTCGACCTCGTCTCCGAAACCACAAATGATCCGATTTTCATTATGTACCTTCTCCGAAGGATCCAATGGTAGCGCTTTCCCTTCCTGGAGTGTCTCAAGTACGCTGGTGGGTATTGGCCTGGGCATGGAAAGGATTCTGGTCATGATCTTATCGCTAGCGAATTGGATCTTGAGGTCGTTGGCTGTTGCAAGTGAATAGGCAGTCTCCCAGTCAACTCGGCAGTCTGATAGATGAGTGAATTCACATCCTTGAAGCGATCCCCTTTAGGCACAGCCTCACCTAATTATCGGGAGGGCCGCTTTGCTCAGGCCACTGCTGAAAGGGCGCTCTGGTACTGTTTTGCATGGAGCAGATGGTGCCGGTAACAACGCCTAGGTCAGCCACAGTTTGTTTGTGTTAATGGAAGAAGCGGGAGGGCTACCAAGGCTCATCACTCAACGCACGGCCTCACTCAACGCGCGGCCCAACCAAACAAAACCTCAACTTCAACACCACACAACTCCACCAATGTGAGCTCAATTGAGGCTGCGCTTGCAGCTATTGAATCGCTAGGATCTAGAGAAGAAATTAACTACACACAGATTGCAAAAACAAATGGCGTTGTTCGATCTACATTGATGCGGAGGCGTCAAGGCGTGTCAACCTAGCGCAGCCTCGAGGCTCAAAATCGACAGGTTCTCAACCCACAACAAGAACAGGAGCCCCTACGCTATACCAATCAACGTACAGAATAAAGCTCGCCTCCTATGCGAGCCATGATACGAAGATTTAGCGCGCAGCTTGCTAAAAGAGAGCTTGGTAACTGCTGGGTTGATCGCTTCGTGCAGCGATATCCTGACGAGCTTATCTCAAAATGGACAACAGGCATAGACAACAATCGCTACGAGGTTCATTCAGGGAGGAAGCATAGCCTCTACTTCGATCTCCTACGCGAGAGAATTGAGTAGTAGTGCGGCGAATGATTTTCGGTATCAGAAGTTTTGCATTGTTAGAACTTGGAAAATCCGGAAATCTCGCCTTCTGAAATAGTAGGCTTTTTAACATCGGCTAACATCTACTCTGTACACCAAGTACTGTGAGTGCGACCTCGTTTGCCCTTGTGGGTATTTGCTTCTCCCGACTTCAGGTATACTATCAGCAATGGTAGGATATTCGAGAAAGCGAAGACAGTTCCAATTTGGTATTTCCCATTTGGAATTGTGAAATTGCCGCCATCGACCAAGTCATTTCCGTTGGTAGCGGTTTTGGGAATAGCCGATATATTATAAACGGTCGCCAGAATAATTCCAAGAATAAAGAGGAGCCTCATCCTATCCCTTCCCTGCGTGCGACAGCAAGACCCAAGCACTACAGGTAGCGGGCATGAGATGTCATGCAGAACTCGAAATTCGGGGAAGGAGAGTTCAATAGATCATCATTACCGGCCGAACGATTCTGTGGAACATGCCGCGAACAGAGTCATGCCACTTGGGTGCAGCGAGGTGGTGTCGTATACCGAAGGTTTGGGTCCAGACTCATGATTGTGTGGAGTTGAAGCTGGGATAGTCAGCCGCCATCGATCTTGGGCCAATCCCACCATGCAATATCAGAGTGTGGCTGCTCTGCGCATGCTTCAGGTCATTCTTGGCCCTACGCCCGATCGTTCTCCCAGCATCTGTTCAGAGGGAACGATGAGATCTGGCGTACGGCCATCGAGGTTGGATCTAGTATCTATTCAATTCAAGACATTTCGGATTCGGCGTCCTATCAAATCATCCAGTTATCTAAAGCCGCTCCTTCGTGGTTGGACAACTGAGAGAGAACGATGATGACTCAGGGCGTTCGTGTAAAGTGGTGCGCAGCTAGCTCCACCATACATCGTCGTCGCGGACAAGCCCATCTCGTCACATTGCCCAACAAGAATCCTAGTGCTGTTCGTTATCGATAAAGGCGAGCTAACTTAAGCCTTTTAGTGTGCTTGGCTGCGGGGTAATGCCCAGGCGCCCATCCACAAGGTGGGTGGACACTACCTATCAACAGTCAATCACAAAGGATAATATCTGCGTAAGCTTTCAAGGCGCTGGTCTGGTCCCACGAGATTCAGATAGGGTGATATTGAAGCTTAATGTCAAGCTTCGCAAGCGGACACCTCCTTCGCTAGAAAACACCCTATGGGAAGCCAAAACACCAAGCAACGCGCGCGAACTAGAGGCTTAATTAACATCAACTCGCGATCGGATTCAAAGGCACAAGAGCTCATCGCCTGCCGGTATCATCGCAGCGATTAATCAGCTTGAGACAGGCGCTGAGGTAATGCTTCATTCAGCTGCGTTGCTTAAGGGTCGAGTCGCTAGTCTTAAAAGAGCGGACGAGGCCGCTATAACGCGTAAGCAGCGCAAAAAATGTGAGATTCAGAAGCGAGGCATCTTGACACAGGCTAAGCGAGAAGAGATGATTGCTTAAGAGGACGTTGAGCAGCAGATAGAGAGCGAAACGCGTTAAGGCAGGTGCCCGCTCGCTTGCTGAGTCTATGTCTTTTGGTCGAAACAATTACGAGTTTCTAATTATAACTAATCATAAGTCTAATGGCTAGCACTATCTTTAGCTTTGACCTTTTTGTGGAACGACTGCCACTCTTTCAGCTGAGGCTTATGGCTGGTTGCTGTTCGATTTCATGCTTGACTATTTAAAGATGGGGTATCGACCGAGGGAAGGGGATTTCTGCAAACAACTAAACTACCTCTGTTCAGGACTTTGCCTAGCTGAAGAATATATCCACCATCATGCGCTTCATCATTCTCATTACTGCTATGGCAGGCCTTGCTGCGGCGTCCCCCGTCCTCGATGTAGAAAAGCGAGATTCTAAGCCAAATCCAAGCGAGGTGTATGTGGAGAGTATGTTCCCCAATCTTCCCTCCTCGTTCTGCTTACGTACCTCTTCCCTAACGCTTCGTATAGGTGTTTCCTGGGCTGGCACGGGATGTCCACCCGGTAGTGTAGATGCTAAAGTCCTCGAAGCTGGGACACTTGTCTCGCTTGCTTTCAGCAAATACGTTGCTGCTACGGGACCGGGAGAATCCGCAGCGAACGCTCGCAAGAACTGCGACGTTCGAGTCACGCTGCACTATCCGCAAGGCTGGTCCTGGACTGTGGCGTCAACGGATTTGAGAGGCTATGCGCAGCTTCCTGAGAAGTGCTCTGGAAAAGTTGGTGCGACCTATTTCTTCAGTGGACAGCAGCAGCAGGTACGTTCCACCTTTTCCTCTCAATCTATTATAAATTTGGGAATTCTAGATAAGAGAAACTTTATGCTGACATGTTTTCTAGGCTTCGGCCATGGTCCCGTTCAAAGGCCCGTACGATGACAACTACAATGTTCACACAGAAGTAGGACAGGCTGCTCTTGTATGGGCTAAATGTGGCGCTAAGGGTCCGTTGTTCAACGTCAATTCGCAAGCAGTTCTTACTTGTGATAAGAAAGCAATGTTTAGTGTGGACACTCAGGACACAAAGTTCGAGATGAAGTTGCATTTGCAATGGAAGAAGTGCTAGAAGGATTGAGGAGGCGAGGAACGGTGGTTGGCTGAGGGTGAAAAGTTGAGGAAGGTCATTATTTGGAAATTGACTCGCAGAGTTGAGGGAAGTGAGAATTTGGAAATTGTCAATGTAAATCCCGAGCGAGCGGACGCCTTAATCAAGTTAGTTAACTTTGCAAGTTATTGACTTAACACAACAACAAGATAACGTGAACGACAAGCGAACTGGCCAGGCAAGCGAGCCAGCCACCCTACCAAGATTGCGCACCTTTGTATGCAGATAACTCAACACCACAACAAGCTACTGTGTTGTAAGACATCGAATTACTGCTCAGTCTCTAAGTTACATCATCTTTTTTGCACGGGTGCAGGTTGTGTTCGGCCTCCCCACCGCTTTTACAATGCCTTTTGTGCTCTCTGCCTGCACCTGTTCGGGATCTCCCCTCGCGCGTTTCTCTCTCTAGTTGTGCCTCAGCATCCTTTTCATCTAGGTGCCAAAGTCTCAACCTGCGGCGGACCTTGTCAAGTATATATGACTTATAGCACGTCGCCTGCCACCTACCAGGGATGTGATACAAAACCTTGCGTCGACAATTGCGCAAAGGCCAGTTTATGATAGCTGGTCTTTTGAGAACGCCTATATCAGCGGCGCGCGATGTCTAGGACTGGAACGACCAGCCTTTGGGCTGAACAAACGACCAAATCTTAGCGCCGAACGAACAACCGTCTTCAGCGGCCATGGGAAGGTAAAATCCATCAACACAGTATGGTTGACGATGGCCTAGCCGCACATTAGCATAACAAGACAGACAAGTTACGCGACGCAGAGTGATGATCAACTCCAGTCCTCCGCCTCCATACAGCGCCAGCAAAACTCATAACCTGTCGCGAGCGATCGTGCCATACATAACCCTGCTGTTCTCTACAATTCCAGTTTCCTGTTACCGCCTATGTCGTCCATTCAGCCTATCCAGTTCTTGCACTCTGGTCCTGCAGCAGCTGAGCGTACAGTAGCAGCAGCTGAATCGCCAGCTGTCTCAGCTGCAATGTGTCCATCAACCAAGTAAGTTACTTGGTTGACATCAGGGCGCTAGAGCACTATAGTAGGCCGGACTAAATTAGTTGGAACCTTAAGCACCGACACGCGACACTAGCTAATCAACTCAAGACGACCTGCTTACGTTAAAGCAACCGGTTAAACCGGCCGGTCTAGAGGGTTCACAGTTGCTTGGAGTCCTAGTGTCAACCAAGTAACTTACTTAGTTGATGGACACACTGCTCAGCTGGCTCGGCGTAAACCTAGCTTCAGCTTCTCTCTGGGTCACAACGCCCTCATTTCTCAGACCCTGTCCGCCCTTCAAACCTCATACCCTCGCTCTTGCCACTATACGTTCCATACAGTAGTGCTAGAGCCCAAACAATAGCTTCTTCGAAAGGTCGTAAAAACAAGCATAGAGCAATTTAAGGACGATGGGACGTTCCTCAGCAGTGTGAGCTTCGTCAGAAAACCGGTATCACTAACTAGAAAATGCAATTAAAAAACTTAAGATTCTAGACAGTAGTTATCGTCAGCCGTTGTCTTAATGTACGAAATGTTGCCCCTATTGGCTGTCAACGACGACTGGGCTAATACATAATAGGCTGCAAACGTCCCCACGTGGAACTTCACAGTTGCATTCCTAACCCCTGCAAGAAAATCCGTGGAGAAAACTGATCAAGAGCATGGTTTTGGAACAAATCCGTCAGATCTGAATCAATAGATGTTCGAAGCAGCCTGAGCTAGCTGACAGTATCTGCAGTTTTGCACCACTCTTCCTGTACCGTCCCAGACAATCATGCGAGGCCGTTCTAATCGATCGAAATGTGAACAAAGGATGCTACAATAATGTCCTACCGCAATAAGCTTTGAACATAAAGGATCTGACGTATTAGTAAACAAGTGAAAGACCAATTAACATACTTCAATCCCTCGAACATAAGCCTTCCACTAGAGGCTTGCTGACCAAAGATGCTTTGTGGCGTACATCGTCTTGTGCCGTCTCGTATTCAAGTCTACATCCCTGAGGTCATATAGTGACAGCTGACAAAAGACCCAAGCACCACTGCATTATGAATCAGAACCAGCACTCATAGGTATGGTTGGTCGGTTGGGTTCTACAAGGCCAAACGTAGGAATTAGCTCAGATGTTGGCCTCCACAAGGAATCAGGGGGTAGCTCCGTCGGTCTGCCCTCACACACCTTACAATATCGCTGTCTGACCACCTCTCGTTAGGCTGATGTGTCATATATACACAGACGCGAGTGAGAACTGAGATTAGCGGTTTGGAGCTTCTATACCTCGATTTGGTCTCCAAGCCTGTGGAAACTTTCTCAGGCCTTTCAGCTGGACTTAGCTTCATCTTAGCCCTTAGCTCTTAGAAGAACACCTGGGATAGTCTAGAACCAACATTTTCGGACCTTTAGCAGCTCTCTTCGTCAGAAACTCATTTAAGTTCTGTCTCTCGCTCGCTCTACGCAGCTTTTAATATCAACTCAATACTTCCGTTCTTGCTTCACTCTAGCTTACAATAGTGCCCGTGAATCTTTTGAGGCAACCCCAGGTCATATTTCGATATTATTCTACAACATGAAGCTCCATACCCTATCCCTGCTCTCTAGCTTCCTGCTTCTTGCTAGTAACAGCTTTACATTGGCGAATCTTGAAGTAAGAACTCTGGAGAAGCGGAGCTCACCTCCTCCGACCGATCAAGCGTTCATTGTCAATGTTCTGTCCTATGTTAATGGCATTCGAAGCAAGCATGCAGCCACGGCTTTGAATTGGGACGCAACACTTGCATCATTTGCCCTGAAGAAGTCCAATGGTTGCAAGCAGGATCATACCGTATGCTTTGTTCTCGATCTCCTTGTGCTTTCTAATAGTTAATAACGCTCAATAGGGTCCCTATGGTGAAAACGCCTACAACTTCTGGTACATTCCTGCCACTTCCGCGCCCAACTTTGCCGCGCAAGTACAGAGTGCATTCAATTACTGGATCCGTCCAGAAGAAGTGAATGCTTACAAGGCTGGGAATCTCCCAGGCGCGTACCACTTCACTCAGACTGTCTGGAAGGCTTCCAAGAAGATCGGTTGCGCTTTCAGTACTAATCGATGCACTCAAAACCCGAACCAAGAGTGGTGGTTTTACTGCGAGTTCAGCCCGATGGGCAACATTATTCCATACTATCCAGGAAATGTTACGGTCTAAAAATTTGACAGTATAGGACTCATGTTCTCTATTACGCTCTGTTCGGTACCGCGTGGATCTAGAGCGTATGGCTTCTGCTCTTGAATTAAGCGTGTGCGACAAGTACCGAATGTTTTATCTTAAAATCAGTATTTTCTAGGTTATAGCTACGATTATGGGGCATCTTTAAGTTGTGAATGACTTAAAAGTCTTTCTCAGTGATGATCTAATGATCTGCATATGCTTACTCCAGCCTTTCATAACTAACGTACCGTTTCCGTGCGCGTTTTGAGCCGGGTCGAGTTTTGAGCCATCTAACAACACCAAAACCTCATAAGAATGAGGCTGTACAGCCACCCACAATAGCTATTATCGCGAGATTTCTTAGAGTTGAATAAATTATAGTATTGCGATCAACTGTGCTACTTATATTTACTTGGTACCTTAGTGGTGCGGCCAAGGCGGGTTGTTTGATTTGGGACGGCTGGTACAACCACCTCAGCTTGTACATGAGATAAATCAACAACAACACGTTTCTGACGCTTCTGAGTTTGAGTAGAGGCTTGTGAGGCCTTGCGCTTACCCTTTAGGGACAGTTTTATAGCTTTTTCAGCGTCGCGAGCTGCTTTCTGGCGCTCCTTTTCAGCTAGCTTTGCGGCTCGCTCTTTCTCCCTCACCTCCTTGAGTCTCTCCCTGTCAACACGCTTCTCCTGGGCTAGTTGAAGCTTTTACAATCGAGCTTGCTTCTTCAACTCAGACCTCTTAGCTTTTTGGAGCTGTAGCTGCTGTTGTTGTTGTTGTTGTCGTCGTTCCATCTCATCGTTCTTGGCTTGACGTACTTTCTTAGGCGACCAGAAAACGGCTCCTCCATGGTATTCCTCAGGATTACTTAGTTGAAGCGTATAGCTCTTCTTTTGGTGTCTCTTTTTGACCTTTAGAGCCTCCTTTAAGCCTCGAACTTCTGCTTTGAGTATACTGTTTTGGGCTGAGATGTGATGCAAACTTCGATAAAGCTTTTTCACCTACTTACTGCTCTCATCTTTGGCTATATGGCGTGCAAAAGACTTGATCTTGCGCCAATCCTTACTACTAAGTATAGAAGTTGAGCTTTCATCTGAACTTGAAGCCTCTTTGTGGAACCGTTTGAGTACAACCTCAGCGTTAGGTGGATTGGTTGGTTGGTTGGTTGGTATTCATTTTTCGTCTGTTTGATGGGGATTAAGTCCGCCGTCTCGCCTCCCGAAGGGCATGTAGGACGTGCTAAGCTATGGAATTACAGTGCTGCTACACTACCTTAGAAAGCATTTCTTGCCTGCGCGGGTATTGCTACCATTTCAGAGATACAGCTCCCCTTCCAGTTGGGGAGACTGAGCGGTGTGTGTACATTAGGGTGGTTTCCTTGCATTTTGAGGCATCTATGTGCCAAGAGAGAGAGAGAGAGTGTGTGTGTGTGTTTGGGGGGGAGGGGGAAAGAGAGGAAGAGGGGTGGGGAGTATTGCAGCTACTGTGCTGGACCTAGTTCTACTAGGTGCTGCATTGCCTGTTGCTGTTGCAGGGCAGGAAGAGTTACCGGGGACAAACCTTAGTGTAGTACTGTCAGACATGGGCATATCGTGTAAGCATAGGGTAGTAGTAGTATAAGGTCACATGAATGAGTGTATTCTTCTGTGTATGTACAACTGTGTGATCTGAGCTCTTAAGTAGTCGGACGCATTAGTCATGCCTGCAGAGCAGTCATGTAATGTAGTCCTAGGCTTACACACCCCCTTTAGGTTCGAACGCATGTTAGAAGCTGATGTGATCGTAGGCCACCCTCTGCCTTGTAACGGGCAGAGCTGCATTAGGTGCGGGCTAGTACCGCTAACGGTGCAGTTCTAGGTAGGCGATCGTCTGCCGTCGCAGTGTTGGTGGACCTCTGCTCTATGTGATAGGCGTCCCTAGAGCTTATAAGTTTTTAAGGTCCTTTTTGCTTCGCGCTCATTTTAGTTAGGTAGTGCTTAACCTTTTAGCTAAGCTAGATGCCTTTTACTAAGCTTAATGCCCTAATGTAGGAAAGGGTTAGAAGTAAAGAAGTAAAACCTAGTGTTCGTGCTTCTGTTAAGGCAAAAGCTTTATAAGACCGTCTGCTAGTTAACAGTTAGTTTGTGTGTACGAGATGTTAATGTTGTTTGCTTGTGATTCTTGACGTAGCCAGTAATAATAGATGTCGACGTGTCGAAGACTCGTCTTAAGGCGAGGTGTAGCAGCCTTAAGTAGGCGTATTATCTGTTAATTGTCGCAGTATAGTAGTTGCTCGTTGTTTAGATTAAAGCCGATATCACAGAAGACTCTCTACTACTATATAAGTTCAGTGCCAGCAGATAAAGCAGCGATAAGCTCTGCTTCTATAGTAGACTTAGTAACACATCGCTGCAATGTAGCTTTCTAGTTAACGGGACCACTAAAGAGGAAGAAGATGTAGCCTTGCGAGCTTTTGCGGGTAGCTTTATAATCAGCATATAAAGCGTCTGTAGCTCCAAAGAAGTCTAG